TGCAAAACAGTTAGGACTCTCCGTTCTTAATCCTGAGGTGCCGGATTTGAACCACCCCCTCCCTCCCTCCCTCGCCTTAGAATCGTATGAAAGTATTTCAGAGTTTTTTTTCAAGCTCATCGAATCGGTGTTCACTTATATCGTTGTTGAAAGTTCAAACATACTGAAAGTGACGTACAACCCACATCAAACCATATCACACCATGCGGTACCTTACTGAGTTACTACTGTCCCATTTCCCTATCTCTGTTTCCTGTCTCGACTGTGAAAACCCACATTGCAGTGTGCTGTACCCACAATGAAAACCTTTTTTTTTAATAGGGGATGCTAGTTGAGCGAACAATCCTATGGCTGCCATATTATCAGGTCTGTGGTGTCACGAGAAAATCGGGCTCGAAGGAAAAATTGTGGATTTTCTTAGAGCAAATGCGTTTTCTTCAAAACGATCAATGTCCTCAACCTGTAACTTGTGAGCTTATTGCTGTTTTGTACTAAATCGGTGTTCCGGTTTTTGAAGTAAATCACGTCGAAACTGAAACTCTACGGAACAAGGTCTTCAATCGCAACATTGCGGAGCTCAAAGCGAAGATTTTTCACTCGCCTTGACAGCTCCGACAAAAACGAGAAGTCACAAATTGAAGCTTGTACAAGATAGCACCCAGCTCACGATTTATACTCGTTTAGATCTGGTGGCTTTTCATTCTTAGGTTTGTATGCAATAAGAGTGCCGACAACAACATCAGCATAATTATGCATTTGATAATAACTTTAGGAGTATCTTATCTTGTTCACGAAATGCAGGCCTACCGGCGTCTGCTGTGAGGTGCTTGGTCACTTTGCTGTTGCACTTAGGAGACTTGGGTTACTTTCCCAAGTATCTCGGTCTTCCCGCTAGAATGTTATATTCCTCTCATCCCTGGATTGCCCTGATAGCCAAGTTTGGAAGCCTGCCTCTTAAATGATCTAAGTTGTTCCGACGGGGGTGCAAACATCTACATTTATTTTTTAAAATACATAAAAACAACGCAGATTGTTCTATAAGAGCATTTATTTGAGAAACGATGCAAAAAAGTTGGGTTTTTTCAGAAAAGAATGGTCGAACATGCTCTTTTCTAGAGTTAAAAACATCATTCGAGTAATGCTCCATCTTTGGTCACATATTGCGTTAAATCTTCGACAATGTGGGCATTAAATGAACGCATCAGGGTTGTTATCTCAACTATTTCTGTGCCCGGGCTTGAACTCACATAGTCAACTCGGTTCATCAGATATCTCTTTTCTCAAGGGGTAAAGCGGGGACACAGATAAAAGCTCCAGCGTCTGTGTGTAATGGCAAGGCTCTTCACTGTGGCTAACAGAAGTCGTGCGTCTGGTTCCCATGTGAGAAAGTTGGGTTTGTTTTGTTTTGTTTTTTGTTTGTTTGTTGATTTGGGGGTTTTTTCGTTCTCGGTGATCTCCTTTTTTGTGCGGGTTACTGTGTCCTTACTGGGTCCGGTTGTTATTGAAAAGCAGGGTCATAGCAGTCTGCATCTTAAAGAATGTAATATGTTTCTGCGGGTCCTACAAGTGTGCAATCTTTTGAGGAGGAAAATATCTAGTATGCAAGAACCCTGTAAAAGGAGTGTTGCGTTCCAACTTGCTGTTTGGCCGTAGATCAGTCCTGAGCGCGAGACCAGGCATGACCCTGTGACCAGTTATTGTGGTCAATATATTGTCCGGTCTATCTCTGACTTCGTATTATGTATCCCGAGACAGATCCTAGTATATCACTCTCGGATTTGCAATTAGCCACCGACTTTTCGTTGACCGTAATCAGGTCATGACATACTGGAAGACTCGGTACTCCTTTCCTGACTCTTCCTTCTATACCTCAATAGTCAAAATTGTGAAATTACAGGAGAAAAAATGGCAGAAGTCGCCGAAGGAAAATCGTGGATAAGTGTATTTCTTCTTCGGGGCCCCATGAAGTACTGCTGATCTTTTCCTGTAAATGTGTTTTAATGGATTACCAGCTTATGATTTTGAGACTTTTTATATGCATTGTTTTGTTACACACAAACCAACAATTTAAATAACTGATAAAAGCAGACATAGACGAAATTAGACAATTATTGTGTCTCATCATCATAAAGTGCCAGGTCTGAAACAGACATCAGCGTTCATGGTTTTTCATCCATTTCTCTCCTCGGATACTCTCAGAAAACATTATCATCCTGCTGTTTCCTTGTCACCGATTTGGTCACGTTTTCCAAATAACTTCCTCTGGGTCTACCTCTGCCTCGTTTGTTCTCCTTTTTTCAGTGAGACCAAGTTGTTCAAAACTTTTATGCCGATTCAAGTGTCCTAGATACTTCATCTGTCGCTTCCAATGGTTCTTGTTCCAGGTGGTCTTCTTTTAACACTCCCTGGTTTACTGTTTTTATCTTCACTGAAATTCTAGTATCCTAACAAACCACGTTTCTGTTGATTCTATTATTTTTTCTCTGGCTTTTGTATTTGGCCAGCATTCCCAGCCCCACAGAAGGGAGGGTTGACAAGTTACATAGCCTTTTTAGAACCCTTCTTTTAGTAGTTTCTAATTTCCAGGATTGGTCTCATTTATTGAAGCTGTCTTTAGCTATTGCAATTCTTCGTGATATTTCTATAGAACATTTGGCATCGAATGTTTTCTCCTCTATTTCTTCAGTCGTAACCTGTGGCCCCTGATTGTTCATTTTCCCCTTGTTGGGTTTCTGATTCTACCCCCCCCCCTCCACACCACACCCCACCCCTGCCTGTGTCAAAAGGATAGTGACCTCTTATGTGCGCTGTTGAAAGTTCTTCAAAATGATTTGCATATTCAAGATATACAACTCTTGAGAAGCCTTGAGAGTTTGTGTACTCTCTGTATTTATATCTGTTTGTTTATTCGTTCGAATGTTTGTTTGTTTGTTTGCTTATCGTGAGGAGGTGGTTTGCTTGTTTATTCATAAATTTCAGATAGGGAGGTCTACAGACTAAAAAAAACGAATGTCTTATAAAGCTCTAAGAAGGGGGGGAGTATGGGATGTCAAACAATTACAATACAAAGCTTGGACAGTTGTAGAACATCTCAGTGTCGCCTCAAACTAACCCCAAACCGGAGAGAAAACAGCCTCCTGTACTCTCTCTCTCTCTCTCTCTCTCTCTCTCTCTCTCTCTCTCTCTCTCTCTC